TTGCCACCTGCACCTGGGGTTCGGCTTTTGGAGAGGCGGGAAAAAGATGACTACCTACCAGACCACCCCAACCCAACCCGAAGACCCGAATTTGACCCGAATTTCGGGTTGCGGGGGGGTGCGGGTTCCATGTGTTTTTTCAATGTTCCCCGACCCCCCCACACTGGAAATGGATGGCAAATTGAAGCCTTCGGGTTGGGTTGGGGTGGTTTGGTAGGCGGTGAAAAGATAATGGGCGATGTTGCGAAAATGGCGCGTGCGGGAGCGCGGTTGCGGAGTGCTGGCGGCCCAGCTGGTCGGAACAGCGGTGGTTGGAGTAGACTCGGTCGATGCGGGAGAAGGCGGGTCTGGACTCGCAAATGGGAAGTGGTTGGAATAGCTCGTGGAAGCCGTGCCGGCGCGCGAGATGACGTTCCCAGTCGTCTGCCTTGCCTCTCCGTGGTCCGCGGCGCCCGTCCATTGGCCAGAGCGTTTGCACCACCTGCCCCCCGCTGCTGTCGCGTAATTCCAGCCCCCCATCAGGAGGGTGAGCGTGGAGCCCGCGTCGGCCACCTGGTTAGCGAGGTCCTGGATAAGTTGTTGCCGAGTTCGTCGTGGCCGGCCGGGAAACGCGCCGCGACTATGTCCAACGCGCCGCTAGGTCCACGCAGTGAAAAAACTGCTTTTCGTCCTGGAGCAATTTCCACCCAATCTTCGCCCCGTACTGGGTTGAACGAGTTGAGGAAGTGATTCGTCAGGGTGAGGCCGATGCCCGCGGTCCGTCGCGCGCGGTGGTGCGACAAAAAGTGCATGTATGTGCTGGTCGTGTGGATGCGGTCGCGCGGCCGAGTGTGCTGTGAGTTTCGCCAAGGCCGATGAAGTCATGTTTATGTAACGAAATCCATGCGCGATGTTGCTTGTCCTGATGGGCGCGAGTGGCGGCGGCGAAGAGGGCTTGAGCATTCCAGTAGGCGCCTCGGTAAGCCCCCCTGCGTATGGGAAGGCGGCTGGTGGGAGTGCTGGAGGGGGTGGCGTAGGGCGTAGGGGGGGAGATCGAGAAGGGCGTTGTCTGTTCGCGGTTTCGTGGGGCGTGTCGGAGTCGTGTCGGCTATTAAGGTCTGGTGTTGACGTCGTGTCCGGCTGTGCCGTTCTGGGTCTGTGCTGGGGCGGTCGGTCGGCTGGTCAACGATTGGTGCGCCGTGTCTCGGGCTCTCGGTTGTCGGGGCGATCGGCTGGGGAGCGCCGGGTAGAGGGTCGCGCGGGGCGCGTTGGAGTCGAGGTCGTTTGGCAGGGTTTGGGAGTGTCGTCGGGTTCTCTGGGGCAGTGTAGGTTCGGTGCTGAGTCGTCCTATCCTGGCGGTCCGGGTGCGTGACCTGGCGCGTCGCCATTGGGGGGGTGGTCAACATGCGGGAGCCGATGCCGCTGGAGGTCGCGCTGGGTCGAGTGGGGGGCCCGCGGGGAGGGCCAGGGGTCGGGGCAGGCTCAGGCGACGGCGTCAGGGGAGGTGGGGTGTAGTGCAGAGGATGGGGGATGCTGGGGTCGCGGTGAGCAGGGTGGGATGGTCGCTGGAAGTCGAACGGCGCAGGTGGAGGTGGAAAGTCGGATGCGGGCGGCTGGAGGTCGCATCGCTGGGCAGTGGGATGCTGGATATTGATTGGTGGAGGTGGAAGTAGAAACCTGGACGCAGGGAGTCCGGCATAGGAGTGTTGAGCAGTTGGACGCTGGGCGTCGACAAGTGGAGGTGCGGTTGGACAGCCAGGCGCTGGAATATCGGGTGCTGGAGTACGGAGGTCGGAGTGGTGAGCTGCTGGCCGCTGGAAGTCAATAGGTGGTGGTAGAGGTGGGAGGTCCGGCGCGTGAGGTTGGAGGTCGCGTCGCTCAGGAGCGGGGTGCTGCAAGTCGAGAGGTGGTGCAGGTAGCGGAGGTGGACATTCGGATGCTGGAAGTACGGGGTCAAGATGTCGAGCTGGTGGGCGCTGGAGGGCGACAGGAGTTGGGGGTGAATGGCCAGATGCAAAGGGGTGGACAGGAGTTGGAGGGCGACAGGAGTTGGGGCGTTGAGCTGTTGGATGCTGAAAAACGGTTGGTGGAGGTGGAGGTGGAGGTGGAGGCTGGGAAGGGTCATGCAGATGCGATGGGAGAATCGCGTGAATACAGATACGTAGCAGTGGCTGCGTCAAGTCCCGAGCGCACCGTTCACGGCCGCCTCGAGGGGGGGGCGTCGGGGACGGAGCAGCTGCGCAGGGTGGGACTGGGGGTGTCTGGGGAGCGTCGTGAAAAAGGTTCTCGACCTCAACTAAGCACGGCGTGCCGTCGATCTCCATGCATGTGTTGTGAACGTGGTGGTAGAGTACGTTGAGATCGTCGACGGCGCTGCATTGGACCGCGAGGCGGCGAGCGTTCTCGCTGCGCCAGCGGCGTGGGAGGAGAGGGCCCCCCTCTAGCTGCATCTGCCAGGGCGCGCCGGCGAGCTCAGAGATCCGCGTCATGAGGCGGCCTGGAAGGGAGCCAGGGTGGCCAGAAGGGGAGTCGGAGACATGGGCGGCAGTGGACAGGGAGATGCAGCGTGCCTCTGACGGCGCGGCGGGTGCGGGAGATGCTTGTGCCACTGCGCGTCGCCGTGTTGTTGGGAGGGCCCGAGGCTTCGCCCGCGCGCGACCGCCCAGGATCGATGGGCGATGCCGCGCCCGCGTGATAGCGTCTAGCGATGTGCCTGCATGCTGGTCGGAGAGCTCCTGGATCCAATGCTCTGCTGACCACGCCGTCCTGATCAATGCCCGGCGCGGCGAGACGAGCGCCGCCTCGTTCGTCCAATCCCGCATGGCTTCAACCGCTGTTGGCGAACCCATATCTACCACCGCGTGGCCGTGCGGTCGGTAAATAGCGCGCGTCGTCCGATGAGCGCCCCGTGCAACTCGTCATGGTTCTTGAGGAGTTCTACGTAGAGGTGCAGGTCCAAGTCCGTGACGCGGATCACCTCGAAGAACCCCAAAGTACAGCCGTTGTGGCCCTTGCTGCCGAGGCTGCGCCGCGGGCCGCCCCAGCGAATCAAGCCAGGGAGAGCCAGCTTCTTGAGCGCGCCGTGGGCGCCGAGTTCCTCCGCGCCGTGGAAGTCCACGATGACTGCCGGGCCAGCGCTTTCCCCCAGCAAAGTCGGCCGCCAATTGAGTGTGACCGGAGGCGAGGTGGTGCCACCAGTCGACAGACGAAAAACCGCGATCGCTTTCACGTGGTGAAGAGGGTTAGTCTGTCCCGGGAAGACACACCTGACTGGTTGGCGTAAGTATTCCACGCTGGATAAAATCGGTTTCCATTCCGTCTCCATTAAGCTATGTCCCCATAGGTCTTGGATTTCCGTGTGCGCGCTGCAGCCTGGGTAAACGTCGTGCGGGGCCAGCAGGCGCAGAGTGGTCGTGGCGGCCGCTGTGGCTGCAAAGGTTTTGAAAGCACGGGCAAGTCGAGCCATGGTCTCCGAATCCATCGGTGCCCACATGTAGAGGTCCTTGCCTGTCATCTCGTGCAGGGCCTCGCGGATGGTCGCAGCGCTCCTGGTGAGAGCCTCGTACTGCTGCCGACCAGTGAGCGGCGGGAGTGCCAGAGGAAAATGTGTAAAGTCGATCTCCTGCAGATTGGATGCGCGGAGGAGGAGGGTTGTGGGTCGCGCCGCGGTGGCCGCCCGGTCGTGTAAATACTTGAGTAGAGGGGTGCCGGCTTCAAGTTGGCGCGGGCTCCAGGCGGTCGTCCATTTGCGCTTCTCCCGGAGGGCGAGGGGGAGGTCGTTGATGCATTGCTTGCTCGCGGCGTCGAGTCGGTCCAAGAAATCCTCGGGTTCTGCTGATTCCTGGAGTCGGCGCCCTGGGTGTTGGCACACCGACGTCAGGGTATGGGCCAATGCCACTCGTCGCATGATCATTTCCGTCGTGGGGGGCGGGCCCTCGTACTTTGGGATGCCCACCGAAGCCCATGGATCCGCGGAAGTGGGGTCGTAGGCGAGGGACCGGAGGACTGGAATAAGATGGCCATGTGCGCAGGGCGTCCAAGGCGATCGTCGGTCGGTTGTCTGAAGGCTCGCGAGCGTCCGCGACTGCGCTGATGTAGTCTCCGTGCACCAAAACCTCCTGATCGATCAGTTCGGTGAGCAGCTCGTCCATGCCTCCCTCATTGTCCGGAGCGTCTGGTTGCGCAACGGGCGCGTCGGGGAAACGGTGCGCCTGCTGCGCGGCTTGAGAAGTCAGGGCAGGGAGTCCGGGAGGTGACGCATGGGGCGCTGGCGTCGCAGCCCCTCGCGGGCACGCAGTGTCCTCCTCATGTCCTGGCGTTGGTGGCGCTGGGGCCTGAAGCTGCCGTTCCTGGTGGCAAGATGGGCATCGGCCCGCGCCTGGTGCCGCCGTTCCGAAGAGCGGGCGAGCACTGTGCTGGCAAGAGCGCAATCCCGCGAGCAGAGTGTCTGGTCTACCACCGCGGAGGCGGAGCACCAGGTGCATCGTGGCGTGCGTCTGGGCGTGGTAGCCGTGCGGGGCGCGGGCGCACAGCGCATTTTGTTTCGCGATCTCCATTGGGAAGTGCGCGGGAATCAACCTGTATACAAATACGTCCCGGCCGAGGGCCCTCGTGGTGGTGCCCCTTCGCGGCCCTGGCCGCGCGGTGCCGTCGCGTCCTCGGCGACGAGTGTTTGTGGCCCGATCAGCCGCATTCACATCAGCTACTTCTATATGTAGTCAGTCAGGTTCTCGGTTTCTAGAGTTTCTTCGACGCATCCGATGCTGGGTCGCCCGGGAACGCGAATGAGGTTCTGCGCGCGCGCACGGCTGACAGAGAGCGGGCCTTCTTCGGCATCACTTTGGAGACATCGTTTACTTGAGTGCCGCATTGGTTTTTTGAATGTCCACTTGTTACGGATGCGCTGTGAATTGTCGCCTAACGGTATCGAGGAGGGCGGCGTGCTCAAATTAGAACTCTTGAAGACACGGACGCAGCAACATCGGCTATATGTTCTCTGTCTGTCGGAGGTCAGGTTGGACATGAAGGGCAGCCACAGGTACGAGGACGGTGTCACACTTGTCGCTCAATCTTCCGGGCCGCAGGGCGGGGTCGCCATTCTGCTGTCGCCGGAGGCGTCGTCCGCCTGGGCGGCGGCCGGCTCGCAGTCTCATGGGCATGCCAGTGATCGCATTCTGCAGTGCTCGTTGCAGCTGGGTGGAAAGGAGGGCCGCTTCTCCATCTTCTCGGTGCACGGGCCCACCTGCAAGGCCACCGACGAGGAGCTTGACGTGTTCTGGGAGGCACTGCGGGCTGCGACCGCCAAGGCGCGTGGCATCTATTTCGTCTTCGGTGACTTCAACAGCCGCGTCGGGAGCGCAGCGGGACCAGATGATGTCCTCGGCCTTCACGGTTTGGGCCGGTGCAATGCCACCGGCGAGCGCATGCTGAATTTCTGCAGGGCCCGAGGCCTTCGGATCATGAGTACCTTTTTCGCCATCCGCGGTCGCGCAAGGCATCTTGGTATCATCCGCGATTTCGCACAGCAGGCCTGATCGATTTTGCATTGGCTCGGACGTGTGACGCCGACATCTTCACCAACGTGCGCACGTACCCGGGTGTAGAGGTTGAGTCAGACCACGTGCTTGGAGTGGCCACGTTGCGCCAGAAGCCGCGGCGGCACTTGACCCATTCTGGGGCTGCTCCTGTGCCCGAGGCGCCGCGGCCTCTGCCTGTTCTGGAGGTGCGCAAGCATGCGACAAGTGCCGGCGACGCTTTCCGAGCCGCGGCCGTGTCGGCACTTCAGCGTGCAGACCTCCAGCCCGGGCAGCTGGCCGCCGCTCTGCGGCAGGTGGGGGCGGGCACTCTCGGGGAGCAGCCGAAGCGCCGGGTGCCTGACTGGCGGGTCGTGAACCGAGAGGCTTTCAAGGCGCTGGCCAAGGCGAGGCAGGAGGCTCACGCCCGCACGCGGCCCAGCGGCGACCCGAGGCACGCTCTAGCCTTCAAGCGCCTCTGCCGTGGCACCAGGGCCACCGCGCGGAGGATGGTGAACGACTGGTGGGCTTCTATGGCGCAAGACGTGTCAGACGCAGCTGATCGTCATGACTACGCTGTCGTTTTCGCTGGCGTTCGCGACATGCCCAGGCAGCTGGGCGCTCTCCCTCGTGCTCCAGTGGCGCACCGTGTCAAAGGCACGCTGCGGCATCTCGCTGACATGGCGTCGCATTTCGAGCAGGTGCTGAACATACAGAGGCCCCTTCGCAGCGAGGCTGTGGAAGCCGGTCTCGCGCTGTTGCAGCCTTTGGACCAAGGCCGGGTCGATTTCTCTGCGCCTGGATATGATCGAGTGCTGAAAGCCATCAAGCAGCTGAAGGGGCGCAAGGCTGCTGGGCCAGACGGCGTCCCCGCGGAGCTCTACAAGCAGCCGGGCGTCGTCGAGGAGGCGGCTCGGATCTTGACCCCTTGGGTGCGGCGCTGGTGGACAGGAGACCTGACGGGCCGACCAGAGGACTGGAGGGACTCGCACATGGTGGCTTTGTACAAGGGCGCCGGGGACATCAGCGACCTGGACAACTGGCGCGGCATCTGTTTGCTGCAGATCCTGTAGCGATATTGATGCTGTTTCCCTTCAACATCAGAGCCAAAGGACCTGCGGTGCTTGCTCTCTCCATGCCGTGCCATGTTATCTCCTGCAGAGGGGGGTCTCCGACCCCAGCAAATACAATCTCCAACACGCCCCCTTGGAAGCTCGGCGCACACTCCGAGTCGAGCTTTCAACCGACTCCCGAAAACTTTGTCTGGCTGGGGCGTCCCCCAGGATGACAGGCTGGGGCGTCCCCCAGGCTAAATAACTACGCCACCGAAGCACTATCCTGCATCGAACTCAAACGTCACTAGCTGGCTTGCTTGATTGGCTCGGCTTCCAAGGGAAAATATCTTACACAGCAACCGGTATTGTGCATGGTGGATGAGAGAGTAGGCCCAGAGAATCTCGCGCTGTCATTTTCACAGCGCGAAGCGTAGCCGCTCAAGGTCCTATACCCTGAGCCTCGCATCAGGTTCAGTCCAAGAAAAGTCCTCTGGCGTTGTCCACGCGCACTTCAAGGAAAACACCGTGCGCGTGGTCCTGCACTGGCTGAAACCGCGGAGCTGCCCACTTCCACTTGTACGTTGTCTGCGACTGCGTGCTTACACTCCGCCTCGTCTGACTCGGTCGCGTCATCACCGACGAGGCTGGCACGCTGAGAATGGTAGTGTCCACCATGTCCGTGGGCCGCATCTCCTTCAGCGTGGTATCGGGCTCGGGCGGGACCAGGAGCCATTCTGGATCCCGCAAGTCGGCGTAGCGGAATCCCGCATAGCCGCTGACGGCGGCCACGACCAACGTCCAGACGACCACTATCAGCAAGTAGCTCGTCCAGTCGCCCGCGACAATGCCGTCCTTGGAGCAAACCTCCGCGTCGTAGTAGTAGCCGTCGTAGTGGGCGGTCTGGCCCTCGCATCCCTGCAAGAGCGTCGCCGCTGCCGTGATCATTGCAAGGGCCGCCGAGCGATTGGCACCAGGAGAGCCCGCCGCGCTCCTTGAGCGCCGCACCCGCGCAGCCGCCCCCACGTCGAAGTCCACCTCCTCCGACTGCTGGTCGCTCTCCGCGACCTGGCCCATGTCCGTGTAGATGCCGTTGAGCGTCCTGAGCTTGACGAAGCGATCGTGTCCGAGGATCTTCGTGCCCAGGTCCGCTTTGTTATCGTCGGTGCCGACGGTCCCGAGGTCCATCAGCTTCCGCTTGATCGCCTGCTGGAGCCAGAGCACTCGCGCCTCCAGACTCCGAACCTTTCCAACTCCTTCCCGTCGGGCGATACCTCGGGCAGCTGACGAGTCCGTCAGCAGAGTAGCCGCCACTGAGAAGCCCATGAACTCCAGGAGCGACTTGAAGTAGAGTATGTCTTCGGCGACCGCCGTCGCCGCGTAGTGTTCTGCAACTCCCGAACTGGTGGCCACGATGCCCTGGCGCCTGCTGAACGAGTGCATGGGAACTCCGTCGATCTCGATCTTGCCGCTCGACTGTGACCTCCTCGTCTGCAGGTCGCCCGCCCAGTCGCTGTCGCCGAAGCCAGCCAGCTCCACGTTCGTGCCCTCCGTCGGTCTCGGTAGCCAGTTCACCGCATCCCTCGTGCCGAGCAGGTACCTCACGAGCCTCTTGAGCGCGGTGAATGCGCCGACGGTGGGGCCTGACAGCATTCTGCCCAGTAAGCTGACCTCGTACTGGCAGTCCGCTCTGTCCTGAACGTAGTACATCAGCGCCCCCACGCACGAGCGGTAGACGCCAGCCTGCTGCTGAGACAGAGCGGGGGTGCTCCCCATGAGCGCCTTGTGTGCTGGCACTCCAGGTGTGGGTGCCGTGTTCGAGCTGCCCAGGCCGAGAGTCTCCACCACGTAGTCGAGGTACTTCGGGTTGGCCTGCAGCTCAGTGCCCTGCTCGTACCTCGTCCTCAGCCTCTTCAGGTGCTCGTAGGTGGTGCCGTACGCGTGGATCTCGCCGCCGCTGAAGGTCACGTGCAACTTCAGCTCGTCACGGAAGCCCTCCAGCGCGTCCCTCGATCCAGCCATGTGTAGGTCGTCCATGTGCAACTCAACCACCACCTCACTCTCAGGATTGTAGAAGAACTGCGGGGCCACCTCGCACCTCGTCATGTGCATCTCGTCCGTGAGGATGCCCGCCATGTGCTCCACCCAGCCTGGCGCCGCCGTGCGCCTGCCAGGTAGCTGCTTCTTCAGCTTCCAGTAGATCTCCGTGTCCTTGCCCTCCGCCTTGAACATGTCCAGGTACTCCTGCGGGGGGTCCACCACCACGTCTTCATACTCGGGCGCCTGGTAGAAGGCGTCCGTCGCGTCCAGCGTCATCACCTCGAAGCCGCGCTTGAGAGCCACGAAGTCGATCAGCCTGTTGGAGATCGGGGCTGATCCTGGCGTGAACAGGTCGTCTCGCCACTCCTGCCAGCGGAACTCGCGGCAGACGAATCGCACCTTGCGCTGCCACTCCCGCAGCGCTGGCTTCCACCTCCACTGCTTCTCCCAGCGCGTGGTGATGTGCTTCATCCCTCTCGCCTCCAACTTGGGGATGTCCTCGCCGACGCCGTGGTCCAGGAGGCTCTGCAGGTGCTCCAGCGTGAGCCTCTTGTCCAGCTCGTCCTGCATGTCCACGTCGAACATGCCGTCCGTCGGGTCCTCGACCTCGTCTGAGACCTCCTCCCAGAACGCGTCGGGCGAGTCGTCCACGTTGCCGGCGTCCAGCGCGTGGACTGCCGCAACTCGCGCTCGCTTGCCTTCTGAAACTTCCGCCGCAGGCGAGACCTCGCGCCTCGCTGCCTGCGAGGGCGCCGCCCCCATCACCACGTCACTCGGCGCCGGCGGCGCTGGCGCTGGAGGCTGCGGCTGCGGCGGGGCCGCCGCTGCCGCAGGAGGTGCCTGCTGCGGTGCCTGGGGCTGAGCAGGCGCCGCTCCGCCCTCAGGTGGTCCTGGCTGCTGTGGCTGTGGAGCATCAGGCTGGAGTTGTGCATCCGCCTTCGGGAGCTCCGTCGCCACCTGCTGTGGTGCCCGCCTGCGCTTCGACCTCTCGGGGGCCGTCCTCGTAGCCCAGGGTAGCCCCGTCACCGTCAGCAGGAGCTCCTTGTCCGTCTGCTTCTCCTCAGGGAGCCGTCGAACCGTCCGCGCGCGGTCGAGCCCCCGAGGCGTCATCACCAGGTGCTCCTGAGACTCGTCCGATCTGCCGACCCAGATCCCTCTGCCCCACTGGGCCTCGCCTCGGCGTAGACGTCGTCCTCCAGCGAGACCTCGATGCGCAGGCCGCGCAATCCGATACAGCACCGTCTCGCCGAAGTTGCAGATGTCGCCCTTGTAGGGGGTGCCCGTCGCTGTCTCGCGTGGGGTCTGTCCTCCAGCTCGCCGTGAGAACCGCTCGTGCAGCCACCCAGCGTGTCGCATCATCCAGGCCCAGATCGGCATCGCTGCCGTGACCTTTGTGCCGTAGCGCTTCTCGAGGTCCAGCCTGGGAACCCGCGTCTGGCCCTCGACTATCTTCACCGCTGCCTCCGCTGGGTTCGACTGGCTGCTGTGCTTCGGGGTCAGCTCTGGTGTGATCCTGCCCGTGAGCACGCTGACCACGCCGTCTAGGATGGCCTTCGTCGCCTGCTCAGTGTCTGTCCTGAGCCTGCACTTGCCAGTCTCGAGCCGCTGCACAAATGACTTGATGCCTGCAATCGCGTATGGTGATGCTGCCTTCGATGGACATGGAATCACCTTCACCACTCCCGTGTCCGAGCTGAACCCCACGAGCATCGTCGCGTAGGTATCTTCGACCTTGGTCAGGTCCCCCTCCTCGTCGGCCGTCTTGCAGAAGCCGAAGTCGTAGCTGATGAGCGGGTGCTTCTGCTCCGAGTCCTCGAGCCTGACCAGCGAGTGAGGGGCGTCTGGAGCCTTGCCCCTGACGCATTCCTCGCACCACGGCGCAGCGGGCAGATGCGTGAGGCGATGATGCCTCTCCTCCTCCGCGCTCGGGGCCTTCGGCACAGGGAGCTGCCTCGCCTCGACGGGGTCGTGCTGAATCCCGAGCTGCTCCTTCACTGCCAGCTTGTGCTGCTTTTCTGCCTCCGCGCGCCTGTGGGCTGCCTCTGCCACGATGAGCCGTTCCCACAGCTCAAGCTTCGTGCCGTAAATCGGCATGAACAACTCCCTCAGCCTGGTCCTCAGCGCGCCGACCGAGCTCTCCGCCGTGAGCACTGGTGCCGTCGCCACCTCCTGCTGCTCTGCCGCGCCGCGGCAATGGTGAGCAACTGCCGCGGGCCCCGCGGACACGATCGGGAGCCTGAGGCTGTTCCGCTCGAGCTCCAGCTGCACGCTGCGATGGCCCTTCGTCATGTAGAGCCCATCCTCCAGACTGAGATTGAACTTGAAGCCCTGCCTGAGCAGCTTGCCCATGCTCAGCAGGTCGTCGTTCACGTCGGCGACGAGAAAGTCCGCCGTCGCCTCGATGCCCTCCTGCATCGTCATCTCAACACCCCGAGGGCCAGCCGTCGGCAACGGCTTCTGCTGCACGTCGAAAAGCCTCGGCGCGTCTGCCGCACTGTTGACTGGGGCCTCTGGGACGAACTTGTGCCTGCACAGGTGGTCGTCGCTGCCGCTGTCGATCAGGATGGAGCCGCCGACCTTCGCCACCTTGCCGTCCGTCGTCGCCGAGACCGCGAACACCCAGCCGTCGGGGACGCCGTCATAGTAGCCCGATGCAGCACGCACCGTGCCGTCCGACTGCTGCTGCCCAGAGCCCGCTGCCGCCGCATCGCCCTGGACTGCCCGCGCGTTACCAGTCTCCTTCTTGGCGTCGTCTGCCTTCTTCTTCCTGCAGTCCGCGCGCTTGTGGCCCCACTTGCCGCAGTAGCCGCACTCGCCCTCGAAATACTCAGCCTGTCCCTTGCCGTGTCCGTGCTTGCCGTCACGATTCTTTGACTTAGTCTTCGAGTCCTTGCCACCCTTCGGGTTCTTGCCAGTCCTTCCTGGCTTGTCCGTCTTGCCCGTCTTGCCGACCTTGCCCTGAGATTTGCCTGCGGGAGGTCCGCCTCGCACTGCATCCACCTGCATCGGCGCGACTCCGCCCGTATCTGGAACGTGTGTGAAGGTCCGTCCTTGATTGTAGTAACCTCGGATGTGACTCCGAGCCGCGCTGAACGTGAGCTTCACATCCGCAGGAGCCTGCCGAATAACTTCACGATATGGTTCTGGCGCGTGCTCCAGCAGCACGCTGACTCGCACGTTGTCTGAGACGGCCTCGCCACTCTGGTCCACGTACTCTGCCACGATAGCCTCCCAGGCAGTGAGCGACTGGAAGAAGTCGATGCCCGACTCTCGGTCCTTCGCCCACTTGTCCTGGGGGTTCAGGATGAATCGCAACATGGCCGTCCACCTGTTGCCTGACCTGCTCTCGTACTCTATCTTGAGCTGGCGCCACGCCTCGAGGCCGTTCTTCCGCGAGAGCTTGACCACTCCCAGCGACTTGCCGTCGCGCCACGTGATCAGCAGGTGCCGCAGCCGCTGGCTCACTGCCCTCGCGAGGTCACCAAGCTGGTCGTTCGGCAGCGGATCCCGCCGATTGGCCGCCTCGGTCATGAGATCCTCCATGCCGAGCAGCGCCGTGTAGGCCTCGAACCTGAGACTCCAGTCTCCCCACCTCTCATCAGTGCCATCGAACCTCTGCAGCCGCATGTCCGTCCGCACGTCGACCACATCGAGCGCCGCCATCTCCGACTGAGAGGTGCGCTGAGAGGGTGGCGCGCGAGCTCAGATCCCGTGGGCACAGGAACCGAGCTCCGCTACCATGTAGCGATATTGATGCTGTTTCCCTTCGACATCAGAGCCAAAGGACCTGCGGTGCTTGCTCTCTCCATGCCGTGCCATGCTATCTCCTGCAGAGGGGGGTCTCCGACCCCAGCAAATACAATCTCCAACAGATCCTCTCCAAAGTCGTGGCCAAGCTGGTCTCGGACGTCTTGCGCTGCCTCGGGGAGTGCGTGCTCGACGAGGGTCAGATGGGCTTCCGGCCTCTCCGTGGATGCATGGACGCTGTCTTTGTCCTTCGGCGTGTCTTCGAGGAAGTCAGAGCGACGCGCGCCCCTGCGGCCGGTGCAGACGAGGGCGTCTATGCTTTGTTTGTGGACCTACGCAAGGCTTTCGACTCTGTACCGCGCTCTGTTATATGGGGCGTCCTGCGCAGGCACGGGGCCCCAGAGGCGCTGGTCGGCGTGGTAATTGATTTCCACGAGGGCACGGGCTCGAACGTCAAGCATCGCGGCGCCCTCAGCGACCGCTTCTGCATGCGAACGGGCGTGCGCCAGGGCGCCCTGGAGGCGCCTGCGCTGTGGGACTTGCACTATGACTGCGTGGTGAAAGATTGGCGCTGGCGCCTCGCGAAGGCGCTTGGTCTCAGGGGGGGCTGCGCATTCATGTCCTCGCACGACTTGGACCTCTCGCGCCCGCGGGGCAAGACCTTGCGAGCTGCGACCGCCTCTGCGCATCACATTTCTGACGTCGCTTATGCTGATGACCTGGTCACTCTTCGCGCCTCGCTGCAGGAGCAACAGGTCGCCGCGCGGCTTCTCGCGGACGCTGTGAAGGACTGGGGCGGCGAGCTCAATGCCAAGAAGACTTCTCCCGGTCGGCCTTGTGGAGGGCAATCTCGCTGTTGACGGCCACGTGATATAGCAAGTTTGCGAGTTCAAGTATCTCGGATCCATCGTGAGCAACGATGCCAGCCTCGGCCAGCGAGCGGACGTCATGACGAAGATCCGCGCTGCTTCCTTTCGGACGTCTGCGGTCCGTGTGGTCAGACGGGCGCATTGCAATGACGACGAAGCGTCTGATCTTGGTTCGCGAGCGTCAGCGACTGCGCTGATGGAGTCTCCGTGCACCAAAACCTCCTGATCGATCAGTTCGGTGAGCAGCTCGTCCATGCCTCCCTCATTGCCCGGAGCCTCTGGTTGCGCAACGGGCGCGTCGGGGAAACGGTGTACCTGCTGCGCGGCTTGAGAAGTCAGGGCAGGGAGTCCGGGAGGTGACGCATGGGGCGCTGGCGTCGCAGCCCCTCGCGGGCACGCAGTGTCCTCCTCGTGTCCTGGCGTTGGTGGCACTGGGGCCTGAAGTGTCATTCCTGGTGGCAAGATGGGCATCGGCCCGCGCCTGGTGCCGCCGTTCCGAAGAGTGGGCAAGCACTGTGCGGCAAGAGTGCAATCCCGCGAGCAGAGTGTCTGGTCCACCACCGCGGAGGCGGAGCACCAGGTGCATCGCGGCGTGCGTCTGGATGTTGTATACGCTGCCTTGAAAGCCCGTGACCGAGCATCGGCTGTACAAAAAGTACGACTGCGAGTCGAACGAATTCAAACGAATTCTTGCGAGTGGATGAACACAGCCATCGGTAGTCACCTGCGGCAGTGGGGTATCCGTAGGCCAGCCCGCCGTCTCACGGCAGCCCTCTCACAACCAGCACCCCGCCATTCAATCCGCCTATCCGGCGTCATCAAGAGGACGGCCCGCTGGTGGAACGTAGGGGATCAAAGGCCCCTAGCCAGGGGTCGAGGGGAGACAATGGCATAAGCTGGCTTTATAAGTCTCCGCACCTGCAAGCTCCCGCGCCTGGCATCGCAACCACCCGCCAATGCAACTCCAACAAGGGACTGGCCCATGAAGGAGCGTCACCGAGGGACCCGCAAAGCTCGATGATCCAGGGGCCGTGGTGGAGCACAGCGGAAAACCCAGCGGCCGGGGCGCATTTGCAAAAACTATTGTGGGACCCCGCGCCCCGCACGGTCTGGATGTTGCATGCGCTGCCTTGAAAGCCCGTGGCCGAGCGTCGGCGGCAGGCCGAGGCCGGAGTTCCCTCCAGCCAGGGACTGCGACTGCGGATCAAAATAGCATGTCCAAGGTACGCATCCGGCTGGGCCCCTGCGCAAGGAACGGCGCAACAGGATAACAGCACGACAACCGCGTCGTCTTGAATATTGTATCGAAAAAAATATATCAGCGTGAAGAGACATCGTCGATGAGGCCGCGCGGCGCCAGCGTGGCAGCGGCGCGCAACGTAGTACATGAGCAACATGCAGAAAACGCGGCGCCGCCGAGGCGGCCAGTGCCTCCGGGGAGGCCGGTGCGCCGCCGCACGCTCCCCGCAGGGAGCCGTGGCCCCGGGCGCGGGCCGCGCCAGGCGCCCGAGGCCGCCGGCACCGCGTCGGAATTCCAGCTGCACTCTTGAAGACAAGCCAGGTTGGAGCAAAAACGGCTACGGAAGAAGGGGAAGGGGAGGGGGAGGGACAGAAGGCTGGATCCAGCGCCTGCAGATGTCAACCTCTGTGCCGGCACCGCTCCTCGCGTCTCCGGCGCAGAGACTCGTATGCCCACGGGGAGCCACAGTGTTGACATGGCAGAGTCTTCTCTTGGGTGTACCTCTGCGCCCGGGCTGCCCCAGCGTTGGCCGGATTCGCAGGGCACTTGCGGACGCGCTGGGCGAATGCCGAAGCCTGAGCACAGCGTTTCTCGCAGTATGGGCACCGAAAGCCGGCGCCGTCGCGACAATCTCCAACATCAGCAGGCAAGGATCGCAGCGGGCACTTCTGCGCCACGTGCTCGTTGCGATGGCCGACGTGCGTGAAGACGAGGCCGCACCTGGGGCATGACATGTCCACGGCTGGCCGCGCCGGCAGGGGCGCCGGCACCGGCACAGGGGCCGCTGCTGGAGCCGGAGGCAGGTCTGGCGCTGGACCCCCAGCACCGCCGTGCCCCTGGTTTCGGCGGCGAGTTAGCACAGACTGATTCCCGAAAGACACGCCCACAAATCGAACAGGGATGCCCGGCAGCGCCTGAAGATGACGAAGATGTGTGCGCCGCCTTGTAATGCAGAGTGAGACCAGCAGCGCTTGTCGCCACGAGCCCACACACGGGGCACGTCAAGTCACCAGGATCAGTCCGTCCACGCCAGGGAGGTCCAGCTTGCGTCGTCCACCTGAGCTTCTTGACGACGCCGCGCCAGCCAATCTGGTCGCTGGAGGCGGGAACCCACGACAGTTCCGGCACGAAGGGGACCCTGCGGACGATGTTGCGGAAGTGCTCGATGAGCGTGCGGCACAAGCCCCAGCGTTCACCTTGGACCAAAGACCTCCCACGTCCGAGCATAGCACTGCATGAGCACACACGAGGCAGACGAGCAGGCGCCATGCGAGAGACGTGCCCCAACCACCGGGCGGAGGCCTGGAGAGCATAGTCGGCGACATCCAAAACATCAAGCATAGAACGGAGGACAGCATGAGAAACGTGCTCGTCTGCGCACTGCCGCCAGGAGACTCCCAGAATGCTGCGCAGCCACCCGTGCCACGCACGCCGCAGAGCTTGTACCTCAGGGCCCCGCAGCGCCCAGCACTCAGCGCCGTACAGCAGGGTGGGCCGGACACACGCCAGGAAGATCAGACGCTTCGTCGTCATTGCAATGCGCCCGTCTGACCACACGGACCGCAGACGTCCGAAAGTGGTGGAAGCAGCACGGATCCTCGCCATGACGTCCGCTCGCTGGCCGAGGCTGGCATCGTTGCTCACGATGGACCCGAGATACTTGAACTCGCAAACTTGCTCTATCACGTGGCCGTCGACAGTGAGATTGCCCTCCACGAGGCCGACCGGGAGAACGCCAGAGCGGACGCACATCCACTTGGTCTTCTTGGCATTGAGCTCGCCGCCCCAGTCCTCCACAGCGTCCGCGAGAAGCTGCGCGGCGACCTGTAGCTCCTGCAGCGAGGCGTGAAGAGTGACCAGGTCATCAGCATAAGCGACGTCAGAAATGCGATGCGCAGCGGCGGTCGCAGCTCGCAAGGTCTCGCCCCGCGGGCGCGAGAGGTCCAAGTCATGCGAGGACATGAATGCGCAGCCCCCCTTGTGACCACGCGCCTCCACGAGGCGCCGGCGCCAATCTTTCACCACGCAGTCATAGTACAAGTCCCACAGCGCAGGCGCCAGCCCCGTGCCTGCGCAGGACGCCCCATATCATAGAGCGCGGTACAGAGTCGAAAGCCTTGCGTAGGTCCACAAACAAAGCATAGACGCCCTCGTCTGCACCGGCCGCAGGGGCGCGCGTCGCTCTGACTTCCTCGAAGACACGCCGAAGGACAAAGACAGCGTCCATGCATCCACGGAGAGGCCGGAAGCCCATCTGACCCTCGTCGAGCACGCACTCCCCGAGGCAGCGAAAGACGTCCGAGACCAGCTTGGCCGCGACTTTGGAGAGGATCTGCAGCAAACAGATGCCGCGCCAGTTGTCCAGGTCGCTGATGTCCCCGGCGCCCTTGTACAAAGCCACCATGTGCGAGTCCTTCCAGTCCTCTGGTCGGCCCGTCAGGTCTCCTGTCCACCAGCGCCGCACCCAAGGGGTCAAGATCCGAGCCACCTCCTCGATGACGCCCGGCTGCTTGTAGAGCTCCCCTGAGGTTCCCAGGATCTAACAATTAGATCCGCAAAAAACACACTTAGCGTGGATAGATCCCTCCCACGTCGGATCTATCCACGCATGGCGGTTCTATCCACGAGACGTGGATAGATCCGCCATTAAGCCAAAATGGCTCTCATATCAAAATAAGCCAAAAATGGTTGCGGCTGGTGTGGAAAACTAGTGATGACGGGCTGATCTGTGTGATGATGGTGAGTCGGAAAGCATAGGATGAGAGGATGGGACAGGAAGTCGGGAGAGTGGTAGAAATGATGAGGATGGATGTGTACAGCAATCGCGACACGGATACAGAAGTAAGGATGGAGGAGGAGGAAGAGGAGGTGAGGAGGAGGAAGCAGAGGAGGAGGAGAAGGAGGAGGACGTAGAGGAGGAAGAGAAGTAGGATGAGGAGGAGGAAGAGCAGTAGCTACGGCAAAGAGCAGGACGTGAACACGCCGCAGGGAGAGGATACATAGGACACTGCGATGGAGGGAGGGGTAAGAAGAGGGAGGAGCACATATGGTGGGGAAGTGCTTATGCAGAAAATAACACAGCGGCTGATAAGGATGTTGGGGTTGAGTATTCACAGCACGCGGCTCGAAACGAAACCGACACAATGATGTCAGGCACACGTGTTGATCCCCAACCTGCTGGGACGTTCTGCCATTCTGGCTCAAAGTCCTCATATTGAGGCAGAGTTGTTTGTTTTTTGTTGTCTAGATTACCTCTCCTGGTAAGAAGCCAGCTGCTGCTGGCGATGATATCATGATGAAGATTGCCAAGACCTTGCGGACCACGATCCGCGACCCACAGCAGGTCAACTACACTACCGATCTTGACGATGCTGCCGATACTGATCTGATTGTGAAAAACAAGGCCGTGATCATTGGTATTCGAGAGGCCACGCACGGGGAAGGAGGGATGACAGGAAATGTGATGCAGATGCGGATGGGGGAGGAAGGAGGAGGACAGTCTAGTAGATGGGGCCCGCCAGGCGATCCACCCGCACGTGCAGGTCACCCACGAGTGCGTCAGGATCGCTCTCATGCATGTTGTGAGAGATGAATGGAGTTTAGATTCAGAGGCGGACTCGTGGAGCCGCGAGACTGGCTTCATGATTAGACCAGCTCCGCTTCACTCCGCCAGGGTCGAGGACGCACGGGGGGGCATCATCAGAGGGAAGAGGGATGATAATATTGAGGGGGGTTGGGCAAGGAGTAGGGGAGGCACGAAAGGTGAGTTGGATTTAAGGTAAGAGCTCCAACTCCTCCCTACACCCTCGGCGTGCTCGTCAGCGAACGGGCCAGCGGATCCGCGCGATGCTTCGACATGTTTCGCAAGCTATCGGAAAGTGTAGGAGCCTCATTTGGGGTGTATGGGCGGAGGGCGACAGCATCGGGAGTAGATGGGACATCGGAGGAAGATGAGGGATGTGAATATGACCGGAACCGAGGCGTAGGGGTGCGATTAGGATTAGGATGATGATGATGATGATGATGATGATGATGATGATGATGATGATGATGATGATGATGATGATGATGATGATGATGATGATGATGATGGTGTGAGAATAGTGAGTCGTTGTCTGATGGCAAGGGGTGTGGGAGGGAGTACTGAATCAAAAGACGGCTAACCTCCAGGAGTGATGACCGACCATGTCCACATTGGCTCAAGCCGTTCTACATCAAGACGGACCCGCGGGTGGGGGGAAGGGGTCGAACAGCGACCTGTTCTGGCTGACACCGTTTCCAGGATGAGGAGGATCTCGGGGAGGAGGAGGAGGAGGAGGAGGAGGAGGAGGAGGAGGACGAGGAGGAACACGAGGGGCAACAGGGGATCGGAGCAGAGACGACGATGACAATGATAAGGAGAGGGATGGGACGAGTGGAAGCGAGGATCGGCACGAGGATGCTGTAGAGCGTAATCGGGGGGAGGAGGTCGGGGGAGGCAGATGGAGGTCATGACTGACGGGGTAGGGTAGTGATGTGTCTGGATGTGGTGCATGATCAGGGGTGGTTGCTCCATGCATCGGCCGCTCAGGATGGCGACGCGGAGGACGACGACGTCGCGACCGAAAAGGCCTACGCGTTCGACCGCATGGAGAAGGCGGGATTGTTTGGATGAGACAGGATGCGGGACGAGCATGAGGGGCGAGGGAGGAGTAGGAGGGGATGACGGAGGAGTCGGACGGATAAGGAAAAGTATGGAGACGTAAGATGAGGGAGGATTACGAGTAGGAACAGGAGGGTGAGTAGGAGGGATAGTAGAACAATGATTGAGGAGGAGGAGGAGGCGAGATGAGCAAGAGGAACGAGTTGGGGGACACGGTGATGACGGCGGCGCCAGACAATCAATAAAAACTGGTCTTCAGGCGGTGTACCGCCAGCGCAAGATGTCCGCCAAGAAGTCGAAGGCCGAGATCGAATGGGCACAACCTCTTCAGGTGCCAGATGATGCTGATGATGATGACTTGATGGTTGCCAACTTCGACGACGGGACCGCCAACACCATCCCAGACCTGACCGTGAGCATGTGGAGGGACATCTGCAGCACGGGCTCTAAGCAAGCGAACATGATCTGGGAAGGCAAAAGCGAGGATGGTAGACGGGTGTGAGTGGCCATGTACTCGAGGCTGCAGAAGCCCCACATCGCGCTCTAGGAGAAGGCAGCCGACAAGAATCAGAAGATGGTGTGCCAGATGGTGATATCACCTTATTATGTGGAGAAGGAGTTTCATGAGTTGTTCAAGCGCTTCGCCACGTTATGGTCGGCCGACGCGGGGAACGCCACGCTGAAGACGAAGATCGAGGATGAGAAGAGGATGTGGATCAGTGCTCGTGCATCGGATGATGTCAAGATGAGGCGCCCAGCTGCAGCGCCGAAAGCAAGTATTGCAAAACGTCCAGCAGCAGCAGACGCTGATGATGATGCTGATGACGAAGATGCGAAGGTGTCGTCCGCTGACGACTCAGACGAGGATGCCGAGCAGCAGGGTGAAGATTCAGAAGGTGACCGAGTTCGTAAGAAGCCAGCGTCCAAGATGATGTCGAGGCCGATGAAGGGAGTGAAGCGGGTGCATGATGATGATGATGATGATGATGATGATGATGATGATGACGAACATGAGGCTGGCACAGCGAGACCGAACGTGAAGGGCCAGACGATGAAGACGGACACGCCCGCGCCGACGCAGCCGAAGCTGGCCATGCCGCAGCAGGAGGACAACGTCACCGACACGGGCAAGCTGGACATCATCGGGGGCGGCGACTCTATTGGGGATGGTTTATTTTGATGAGGTGGGAGGGGGGGTGAGGTAACCGTGGGAATTGCACAGAGCTCAGCATGTGTATAGACTATGTTTTGTGATGGTTCGAATCGTTGTTCGAGGTCGACAGTGTCCGTATCGTGGCGAATGTTGTTGTGTCCGAGTGTGCATTGACGTGCTGCGTCAGAGTTGGGATGTATGATGTGTTAGGGAGGGAAGTGTGTCGATGTGCAGTGTCAGGGTTTGTATTGATGATGTGATGCAAGCTTGAGATGTAGCGTCCTCTCGGTGGCGGTGCGCTCGGGTATGGGAGTGGGGTAGCGTAAACGGCACAGCTTGGGAGATGTTATGACGTGAACTACGACATCAACGCCTGCAACTACGACTGCAGGCGCATGCATTGCGCCAGCCGCCCCCTTGCGTTGCTTCGCGTGGCAAGTGCTGCGCTTCAGCAATCGACAGATGACTGAACTGCGTGTGTGACTTCACACATGAAACAACAAAACACACATGTTACATCTGGTTGAGGGTGTGCGCGTAGGCTGTCAGGGGTTGGGTAGTTCCAGATACATGCATCGACGAGTCAGGGGCTCTCGGCGAGGTGCAGCTGAGACAGATGAATGGAGATGGTGAGTAAATAGATAGCGTGACTCGCAGGGTTAAGACGTGAGTGCGAACGGCATTTGAATGAGATCAGTGTCACATATCGGTCGTACCCCTTGGTCGTGCATTGGCCCAGTCGCGTGCTGGCGTGTCAAGATCACGATTACACACATGATAACACGTGTTGCGGGGGGGGAGGTCCAGGTCATGATGTGTGCTCTCGTAAACTCTCCAGCTGCCCAGTGCGACCACAGCCGTGTTCTATCAAGTCGCAGTGTATGTTCAGAGCGGCTAGCAGCCAGAACACGGGCCCTTCCCCTCTTAAGGGATCACCTAAACGCGAATTTCACGACATCAGGAAGTTCATTGTTCGGGTCCCGATGGCTTCCATGGGCGGCGAGGCCGCAGCTGGTGTCCATGAGGAACAACAGGGAATACGCAATCCGACACCCCACGACTCGTGCACGTCAGCTCATCCCATGTCTTGTACTCCGCTCCATCGACCCTCTATTCCCACGCCTCCCCACATTGTCTCATTTCGTCGTCTCATGTCCAGCAATCGTGCGTCGTTAACCCCGAAGCCTCATATCATTCGTCGTCTTGGCCACCTTCCCCCTCCTCAATCGCAGCTCCAACATTGTCTGCTACTGCCCCCCGATCCGGCCTGCGAGGACGGCACCGCCCCTGAGCCGATCGAGATCGACTCGATTACCGACGTTGAGGAGCCACAGCCCGCACGGACTCAGGTTGACGGTGCAGGGAGTCTCGACCAGCTGACTGGCGGGGGCGACGTTGTGCACGGCGACCGCGGGGGCTACTCCGACCACGGCGGCTCTGCGCAGCCGCCGTTTTCTGCATCAGACTTGCGCCCCTTCCAGCCCAGTCAGGACGGTGATGATGACGATGAGGCTGCGCGCCTGAAAGAGCTCGAGGGTGAGGAGGCTCGTTTGCTGGAGGAAGAGGCGGCGCTCAGCGAGGAGGCGAGTAGCACCATTGCTGCCAGTGAAGAACATGTAAAGGCTGCACAGGATGAGCTCGCGAGGCTGGAGGCGATCCGCAAAGCAGAGGAAGAGGAGGCCCGCCGCATGCTTCCTAGGAGCGCATCAGGAAGGCAGTCGAGGAGCGTCAGAGGAAGGAAACCGAGGAGCGCCAAAGGAAGGAAGCCGAGGAGCGTCAGAGGAGGCCGAGGAGCAACGTGCACGACATGAAGCAGCTCTGAAGGATGCGCAGGTGCAGGAGAAAGCTCAGAAGCTAAAGGAGATGAAGGAGAGGATCGAGCAGAAGAAACGAGAGTTGCAGCGGCAGCGAGAGGATGCGGACCTCAAGAGACGTAAGGCGGAGGTTGCGTTGGCGGACGAGATGGCGAGGCTCGAGAAGCTGAGGGCGGGCAAGAAGGTGTCGACGGCGAATATCGATACAGCGGACCGCCCGACTCGTGTCGTCCTCGTCGTCACCACCCTCATCCTCATGATCCTCCTTCTCCCCATCAAACTCCTCCTCCTCCTCCTCCTCCTCCTCCTCCTCCTCCTCCTCCTCATTCTCATCCTCATCCTCCTCATCATCATGACCAGCATCACAATCGTATACCTCGTCAGCTCCCTCCTCAGTCCTCCATCCCCCCTCGCCGCCATCGTCCCTCCTGCTCATTGTCCTCCAGGTTATGTTTCTCCTCCCCTGCCTCACAGAGGACGACGGCATGATGGACTCCTCCGATGACAGCAAGCCGCTCGCACCCCCCGCCAACGTTGCGTCGCGTGCTCGCGGTGCCAGCTGTGCGTCGCGGGCTCCCGAGACCGTCCCCGAGCAGATGACGCCTCTGAAGGGCACGCCCCTCGGCTCTGGGACGGGCGGGTTACAGACCCCGCAGCAGCAGCTGCCAGGTGATCATTCGGACGAACCACGATTAAAGAGTGCAACACGTGAGATCGGTCAATCCACCGATCATGTTGAGGTGGCATCCATGCCCAAGGAGAAGTTGCTCGAACACATCGACGCTGATATCAGGTTGCTCCATCACGACATCGCCACTGCCCCTCACTCGAGCGACGCTGCTTCACTGGAGTTCGCCACCATGAGGATCCAGCAGTTCCACAACAGCGGCATGGTCGAACGGATCCAGACGTTGCGCAAGACCGATCCTCGGCTCGCCGCCAGGGACAGGGAGGGCAGACCAGATGGCGCGTCCGACGAGGCCGAAGATGCAGCGCTGTGGGGCGACATGAAGCAGAAGGACTTCTACTTCACCACCAACGAGCACGACAAAGGATCAAACTCGGTCATGGCTGGCCGCTGGAAGAGGGCGAAGGAGATGGACAAGGAGCTCTACGAGAAGACCCTTAAGGCGAAGAGGTTCGTGGACAAGCAGCAGATCAGGAAGGAATGGGCCGAAGGCGAGTTCAAGAAATGGGCTACTACAGTCGGCTTCAAGTACGTGGAGGAGAACGAGAAGCTCGAGGGGCAGGAGGGGCAATATATCCATCGCTGACTCTTCTCCAGCGGCCCAGAGACCCACTCCAGAGGGCTGGTTAGATCCTTCGCTGGGGGATCTCTTGGAACCTTCTCTTTTTGACATGCGCCAGGCGAGCAGAGCGAAAACGTTCCTTCCGAAGGGATACTCGATCTGCGAGTACACCTGAGGATTCAACAAAGGCTTTGGCAATCACAGCCCCGACAGACACAGGGAGGGAGAGGAGGGGGACTTGAGCGAAATAGTTACAGACAGGCAAGCTGACAGTGGCGGGCCTCAACGAAGCGAGAGATATAACAATCAAAGATTAAAAAACATCACTGACTCTTCTCCAGCGGCCCAGAGACCCACTCCAGAGGGCCGGTTAGATCCTTCGCTGGGGGATCTCTTGGAACCTTCTCTTTTTGACATGCGCCAGGCGAGCAGAGCGAAAAGGTTCCTTCCGAAGGGATACTCGGTCTGCGAGTACACCTGAGGATTCAACAAAGGCTTTGGCCATCACAGCCCACGCCGTGATCCCTTACTGGAGGGCCTCCTGAAAGCACTGAAAGATGGAGGCCTCCGCAGCTGTAGCTCGCCTCGCGAGCTCGGAAGGAAGACGGGCGGCCTGGAGAAGAAGGCGGCCGCTCTTTTCGTACCGTTTAACGGACTTGGCGCGGGCCCAGCACCCGCGCTTCTGAACAACTGCTAGACTGCGAGCGCGCACCAGCACGTCGTGACTGGGCGCTGAGTGACGGACTACGTGGGGGGTGAGGTACCCTACTTTGCCGAGGATAGAGCAACTATATTTCCGAAAAAGTGCTTCATACTTGGCCAGAGACAGGTGCGGGAAGACTAGCTGATCAGAAGAGGTGTCAGACTTATGGCGCCTAGCCCACATCTCAAGCACGGAACCTACCCACTCACGGCCGACAGAGTCGAGTACTACAGTGTCATCGCTTTCACCAGTCTTTGTGGTCTCACCGAGGTCTGAGTTGCCAATGACAACAGCCCACTTGTTCTTTGACAATGAAGATGAGAGCTTTGAGGGCTGAACCAGGGAGCACCACCGCAGTTCGCATATCTCAGAAGGTCTCAGGTAGGCGTCTAGTTGGATGGCCAGGGCGACGGCAGCCTCGGTGTGTTTGTCCCTCAGGAAGACACTCATGAACAAATAGAAGACTGAGAGCGGCCACGGATGTCGAGAGGAGCCAGGGAACGTGCGGACCCAGCCCTTCATCGCCTCACGAGCCATCGAGAGGCGGGCGGACTTGGCGATGTCCGACCGTGGGAAGAAAGTCAGATACCCCCAGAGTGTGTACCGTCCCTCAGCGGCATGTCGAGCATCACTCATGAGAACATTAAAGTACTTGCACATTTTCTGATCGACAACGGACTCTGGAGCTTGTCTGAGGTCATCTGAGCGCGTCGCCCAGTCGAACAACTCACGAACTGCAGTCCCATATCGCTCCAGCGACGTCGAGGTGATCGAGCCGAAACGGGCAACACCTCCATCCACAGGGACGGGCGCCGTCGGCCCGAAGCACAGGTTGCGGCCCTTGATCGCCTCCACGAAACTAGAGACGCGGGAGCGGCGGCCAGCGACCTTTCGGGCCTTTCCTCGAGCGGGCTGCCTGCTTCCTTGCTGCTTCGAGGTTGGAGTCCTGACCGAAGATGATGAAAGGCCGCAGGTGGTCAAACCTGCTCTCGAGGTCGGCTGAGTCGACGGCGCCAGCGAGCCCGAGGTCAGGCTCCGCTTGCAGCTGCTGCCGAGCTGGTCGGAGGCGCTCCCGGGCGCGCGAAGCCGGCCGTCGCGCAGCATCGCGAAGCCGGGCCTCCAGGTCCCCGCCGTCAGGCGGGTCTGAGCCGCCTCGGGCCCGCGCAGGCGCTGACATGCCCGCGGCCAGGGCCCATGCCTGGCAAAGACTGCGGGGGTAGGCTCCAGCACCTGCCGTACGATTGCGAGAAACACGAGCCCCAGATGGCAACGTCACGGTCTCGAACCCCCTGAGCTCAACATGTAAATGATCTCTGGAGCACACCGAAGCTAAAGAACTCAGGGCTGAAAGGTTAGTGAGAATCGCTGTCGGCTTCATGTGGGAGGCACCGTAACTAGAGTGCACCAAACACACGCGAACAACGTCAGGAAGGTCAGTAAGCTTTCGAACGGGGTCGAAGTCCCAAGGTCTGGAAAATCTCGGATTCTCAATGCTCCAGAAGACGCCGTTCCGCGAACACTCATAAGCAACACGGCAGCTGAACAACGCTAGAGCTACACCCACACGCTCCTTGTACGCGGCTTTCTCATAGTTGGCGATGCCATGACGAGCCCGAGACCACACACAACAAGGTGTCCCAAGATGTACATACCAGAAGCGCCCCTTTCGGATGTCCTCTAGGATGATGTTCTGGACCTTCGGGTCCAGGAGGTCATAGTGAGCCCCATCTTTGATGTCCATGCAGGGGTAAGTAGACAGGCCGAGCTCCTCGAACGCCTTGGAGAGCCCACCCTCGCCCGAGAACAGCTCCAAGAAGCCCTGGCCCTGCTGGGCCCGTCTCCGAAGTTGAGCGCGCCCAAGACGTAGAGGGGGACAGGCGGTCCGACTGGTCACCGAAGGTGTCGAAGTAGAAGGCGGACAGGACACTCGACGCAGAGAGGCTTCGATTTCCTCGGGAGGCTGCAAACCCAGATGCTTGTCGCTCTCGGCCGCGGCGGGCGGATGCCCTGCGAGACCGAGTCCAGGAGGCAGGCTGCCCGCCTTAACTACAACGTTCAAAGAGGAGTAAGAGGGAGAAGATGATGTCATGTCTGTCGAACTCTGTTTGTTGTATCCTTTGTCGGGGGAGTTGTGTTCGAACCGACGAGATGGAGCGTCGGCCACGTTAAACTTCGTGTTGACATACCGCAGCCTCCAACGCATTCTACAACCGATTGTGTAGGCCGCAGCTCGCCGGCACTGTGCGTTCAGAGCTGCTGAGCGGCTGGACCGCCCCTTGTCCAGGCAGCCAACACATACCATGGAGTCCACGAGAGAAACTAGGCGGCGCCCGCAAATCTGGCGAACGCAACAGGCATGCCGCAGCCTCATGACTGCAGCGCGGGTCTCCTTCACGTTGATGTGTTCTCCAGGCCAGCGCCAGCGCCTCGCTGCCACCAGCTTGAAGCCCTCCGAGTCGAACCAGGAGGCGGGCAGCGGCGGCGCCAGGGGGCCAACCTGACCGAGGCACTCGGCGTCGAGATCGTCAGGGTCGGCAGGGCGCCGCCGCAGACGGCGAGGGCGAGGCCGATGAGGTCCGTCGAGGGCAGAGCCCTCCTCGGCCTTGCTCTGCAGCCACTGGCCGAAGGCCGTGGCAGGGGCGGAGCCAGCGTTCGGCTCGGCGGAGCGGCAGCGGGGCTCCACCTCGTGATCCAGCTGCGTCTCGTCTGCCTCCCTGTAGCCGCCCATCTCAGCGACATCGGCGGCCGAAGTCAGACCAACACGGGGGCCTCGGAGGTGCTGCCTGAAGCTCCACCTCTCCTTCCAGCGGAAGGCCGACTGCATCTCCTCGACCGTGGCCTTCTTGTACATCAGGCCGTACCCGTTGTCGGCAGAGTCGCTGGCGTAGACGTGCGGCACGTAGGGCGCCGCCAGGTCGACCTCAGCGAGCCAGACCAGCCCAGCGACCAACCTCATCTCGTGCATGACCTCGCGCGGCAGAGGGGTCCGAACGCCCCAGGCGGTCTCGGCGAACCGGCACGTGGCTGAAAGCGCGGCGTACCCGGGCCTGGCCAGCATCAGCAGTGATACAGCGTGGCCCAGCCAGACCTCCATGTGCTCTCCTCGCATCTTGCCACGACGCAGGAGAGCGCGGGTGGCCAAGTCAAAACGCCACACTCGGGAGGCCTTGTTGCGATGCTTCCCCTTCCTGAAGTCGATCTCAACACCCACGGTCTCGAGGTGGGTCACCACATCAGGGTAGGACCACGTGATAGGCAAACCAGATCGGTCAGCTTCGGCCTGCAGGGCAGAGCTCGCCTCACGAGCCAGAGAAGCGTCCCTGCCGAAGACGGTGATGTTGTCCACGTAGACGCTCCCCATGACCTTAGACTCATTCAAGTCAGGGGCGGGATGATGCTCCTTCAACATGGCAGGCGTCGGTAGAGACGACGAACGCAGCGCCCGCCCTGTCATAGCAGATACAGCCTCCTGCGCAAAGTACAGAGCCCAGGACCACCCCATGCAGCGCGCATGCACGGATACAAGACCATGTCGTCCTCCACGGAGACCATCGTGTTCAGATCGGGGTCCCAGAACGCCCCGACGTTGATGCCGCACGTGTCCCTGATCTCGGCGGCGGGCAGCGGGTCGTCGAAACCGAACCACTCCGCCAAGCCATCGATTGCGAAGTTGTAGAAGCAGTCCTCGACATCGGCCTCGTCCCCGCGGGGGTCCCAGCCTATCACACTGCCGACACCGTCGACGGACTTGCCACCCACGGAGAGGCCGAGGTCCGCAAGGGCCCCAGCTGAGCCGAATCTTGAAATCGGAGGGGCACGATGACACGAATTGGCCTGTCTGGCATCCACAATCATTCTAATATCACTTGGTTTCTTTTCACAAAGAAGAGGGCAGCACGAGCCCGGAGACGACGCCTGAAAGTTATCAGCCCTAGCTGATACAACACCCTGAAGAGTCGCCAACGCTCTGTCCGACTCGAGCGAAGCACAGGATCCCAGTAAGGACGAATAGGATCGGTGTGCTGACGCGTGAACTCCATCTCCCCCTCATCCTTCTCGATGCACAGTGCAGGGTTGCGGATCATGTCCGCGGGCAAAGGCGGCAAGAAGTTAGCCGCAGAGCGAGGTCGAGCGCGCCCCTTTGCGACCTTGAGCTTTGTCAGATCGAACGGCGCGAGGTTCTTCGGCTCCTGACAGTACAGGTCCTTAGAAGCCAGCAACTCGCGAGCGGCCCCCTCGGCCGTCAGGCCAGGCGGGGGGGGCCCCACAGCGGCAACGCGCTCCGTGATGCTGTCCAAGATCCATTCCTGAACGGCAGCCGGGGCCCGAGATGACTGGCGAGCCTGGCAAACACTATCTGAATCCGGTTGAGCAGCAGCGAGATGGTTGAGCGAAGCCCGCGCCGAGAGTACTCGCCGTCGCTGCTCGGGGCCCAAGCCCGAGCTGTCGAGCCGAGAGGGCAAAACATGCGGCAGAGGGAAATGGCCCCCGTGCCTCCGTCTTAGGCCGCGGTCACCCCGGGGCCTCCTCCTCGCCCTTGCTCCCCTTCTCACCTCGGCCGCGCCCACGACCGCGACCTCGTCCTCGGCCTGAGTCTGCGGGGGCACGAGAGTTCTGCATGGCCCGCTGCTCCTCGTTCCACAACCGAGTCTGCTTGGAGATCGCGGCCTGCTCCTTGAGACGGCCCGTGGCCCACTCCGTGAGCTTGTTCGTACTCGCCTGGCCCTGCTCGGCGGTCGGAGCGCGAAGCAAAATCTCCAACCCACCGTAGTCAGGATGGCGAGGGTTACGAGCCACCGCAGTCTCATCCTGGCAGATCCTGCGCATGATGAGTTCGAAGCTCAACAAGTTGGTCACGTCGAGCTGGTCTGTCTGAATGGCCAGCCGAACCGACTCGCACCGCCGAGGATTCGCTGACTCCCGAACGGCGAACCCACTGTCCGTGATAAGAAGAAAGATCTCCAGGGCCATCCCGAACTGAAACGAGCCACTCCTTGGCAACCCGCGGTCCAAGCGTGGCCCAATCGTCGAAGCTCGTCTCGCGCATCAGGGATATAGCGTCTGAAAGTGGCAGATGACGACGGCCTGCGGAGTCTCGATGGTCGCCCAAAGTGCGTAGGTCTCCACCCTCCGAGCTACGTGAGGTCATCCACTCTTGCAACTGGTTGCTCTGAACCTTCTCTATGAACACTTCGAGGCCACTCACCAACGCCACGCTCCTGGACTGCCCCAAGGAAGCCTGGTCCAACTCTGCATCGACCAGGGGTTGGGCAAACCGTGAGTGACCTACCTCCGCGACGACCCAAGCGAAGTTCTCCATCTCGACGTCATGGTCGCCGTCGCCCAATATTGCTGCCTGAACTGTAGCTTGCCTTTTTCAGAGCCAGAATCTCAGCTCGAGGCACAGGGTCGAATCCATACACCTCGCCCCGACGATTCGCAGGGAACATCGAATTGCGTTCCAGGACGAGGTGGCGCTGCTCTAGAAGATTGTGACGCACAAGCTCTAAGTCGGGGGTGATCGCAATCCATGCCCCCGCTGTGATCTTCTTGACTAGAATACGGTGATGCCAGAACATGCCCTCGTCATTGGGATAGTGCACGAGTACTTGGGGTTCTGGGATGTCTAACGTGTCCATTGTGAGAGCCGATGGTCACTGAAGAAGTCGAGTCCGACGAGCTACCAAGCACCTCACGAATACGGCTGAGCAATCCTCGTAGGACTCCAAGGGCCAGCACTGCGGCCCAACTCACTACCACGCCGATGACGACGCCCACCGTCAGCCAGAAAGCCCAAGCGCACGGAGCCGCTGGGGTCGTCGACGGGCACTCAGTCACCTCGGGCTGCCTTCCACAGCTCAGAGCGGGGCAGCTTGGACAGGGCGGACACGATCCGCAAGTGACTGCGGCTGACGCGGGGCAGGCTGGCACCGCGGGGCAAGGGGGAGCTGCGGGGCACCTGCTGAGGTGCGAAAGCAGGCCGTTGACAGCTAAATATTGGAGACGCTGCTGCCGCATCGGCCCTCAAGACTTGATCGAAATAGTTACAGACAGGCAAGCCGACAGTGGCGGGCCTCAACGAAGCGAGAGATATAACAATCAAAGATTAAAAATCCTTGGCGAGGGTGGCGGTTGAGGAGGGTGGCGGCCCAGCATGATTGCGGGCGGTCCTCAATTATTGTACCTCGTGCGTGCTGCTTGGCGGGCTCTGGGTCGAGTGGGGCGAGATGAGCAAGCAGCTGAAGTTTCTCCACCGCGTGCATGCGCTGAAGGACCTCTACAGGAAGACGATGACGAAGTGGCAAGAATGGACTAAGTGGCCCGATGCGCAGCATGATGAGCACGCCACGAAGACCCTGGAGACGGACATCAGCCACGCCGTGCACGACGCCCACACGGAGCAGACGAAGCAGGCGCCGCTGGCGAGGGGCAAAGGCAAAGCCACCAAACAGGGCAAAGGCAACGGCACGCGGAACAAGAGCGGCGCTGTGATGAAGGGGCCTGCTGCGGCGGGGCGCGCCGCAAGTATCACGGACGCCGAGGCGGAGGAGCCTGATGCGGATAAAGCTGAGGATGAAGATGAGGAGGTAGAGGAGGAGGGGGAGGAGGCGGGCAAGAAGAAGGCCACGAGGACACCGCAGTGGCTCCTCGACTTTCGGAAGGAGCCACATTGCTCGTCCTCATCATCCATTGTACTCAGTACTGTCCGTCTCCCAACGTCTATCTCGCAACACCCTCGCACGTCCAGTCAATCCCCATATGTCAGAGTGACAAGCAGGGCTGCCATTGTTTGTCCATGGGTGCGTGGCTGCATTGGGGATCTGTGGTGGGGATTCTTCGCGGTTATTGTTGGTTGCTTGGTGTCGTCGCTCGCGACCAACCCCGCGACCCACCAGACGACCGACCCCGCGAACCACCCCGCGACCCACCCGCGACCCAACCCGCGACCCACCCAACGACCCACCCCCTGACATGCACCGCGGCCCACCCCGCGACCAACCCACGACCCGCCCCGCAACCCATCAACGACCCACCACATCCGCTACCCACCCCACGACCCACCCCGCGACCCAACCCGCGACCCACCCGCGACCCAACAACGATCCATCCGCGACCCACCCGCGACCCACCCGCGAACCATTTGCGACCCACCCGCGGCCTGCCCACATTGGTTTAACGAACAAATCAGCGCCTGCGGTGAGCTCGTTGTGCACTGTGTGAAACTGTGGCGCTGGCGGCTAGCTTCTCCAAACTCTCGCAAGCTGCTGACGCCCCCGCCGCCCCATCGCTCTCATCCGTGTCTGCGGGGTATTTCCAACCGCTTCCCCGACGCCGCTCCCCCAGCTCAAGAACACCTACAACCAGGTCATCTCTCAGACGCGGACGGTGCAGGAGAGCATCGCCACTGACGTAGAGTGGGAGTGGGCCACGGCGACGACGAAGGTGCAGGGTGAGGATGCGCCGTTGACAGCGGGCATGGAGGCCGCGCTTCAGGAGGTCAGACTGGAGGTTGCATACACAACCCCCTGCCGCCACCAGCCCTCTCTACACCATACGCATCCCAGTCATCCTCACGACAACCCCGACATCAGTCGATGCCGCAACGTGCCGACGTATAGGCATGCATCGTGTTCCGTATCCCACCTTCGCATCGTGGACTCAGTATCACCTTTATCGTTCCCTGGTGAGACGTGGAGGATGAGTCGCATGTTGCCTCTCTCTGTTGTTGTCTGCGCTCCCCTGCCCAGGTCAACGCAGTGATGAAGTCAGACAGGAGGCTCGCGAAGCTCTTCAGCATGGAGATCGGCGACTTCAAGAAGAAGGTGTGCAGCGAGGAGTCTGAGTTTCAGAGCGTGCTGGTGCAGGCCAACAAACAGATGACGACGATCATCGAGACACTCAAGACCGAGACGAAGCGACTCATGATCCAGCACGATGCTCGGATGGCTGATTGATCTCACTGTCGTAGGCCTGCATGGGGTCTCATCAAGATATGGTTCACGACACGAGTCGAACGCAGTAGAGATCGACGAGAGGATATGATGAACAAATCGGTGGGACTGTGGCGAATAAATACAAACAGTGCGCAGGCGGGAGTTGGTAGTGCCAGCATCGGGTGTGTGATTGATTTCCTACATTTACGTGCGATTACTACAAAAGCCAACAAAAACATACATTCCAACGGCGGAGCTGATGCACACTGTGTGTCTGACGAGCGTCTGACGAGCGTCTGACGAGCGTCTGAACTCTCACCAAACCCTGTAAAAACACAAGGAAAATGACCGTCTGACGACCGTCTGACGACCGTCTGACGACCGTCTGACGACCGTCTGACGACCGTCTGATCCGGTCAGTTTGGAGGGTTGCACGTGATCTATGAAATTTCAAGCAAAAACGCTGATACAAAGCTCGATCGCGTGAAATTTGGAGTTCCTGGCTAGTTTTTCAAGCAAATGCTACCATTTTATAATAAATTAAGCACTCGCACAGTAAACGAACGGGCAGCTATAGGGGGTGATGGGATTGTCGAGTAGTGTTTTGAGTTCGGAGCAAGGGGTCACGTGCATTCAGTGAACAGTAGCAACATATGGGCACACGCAAACACTCGTGAACCTATTATCGCAGCTGGCATTTCATCAGCTTGTCGTTCGTGCACTGCCGACGTCAGTGCAGGCGCGTGGCTGCTGCACCTGGCGTCGCATTGACTTTTTGGTTGCTGGGTGCACGCGCGCCAGAGGGAGCGCCACTTTTGAAACAACACTGATTTGATGCCTGTGCTGCCGATTTGGTCAGTCGCTGCGAAGGCGGCGACGTGATCTGCTCGATGGGCAGACGGGGTTCGGGGCAACTACTCGTCGGGTGACCTAACTGACGGTCGGGGACATCACGTGCATTATCGCCCTCCCTTTTTTCCCATCCTCCCTCCGTTCAGCACTCCCTCTTCCTTCTCAACCATTCTCGTTTCCTCATCTCTCTCTCGCCGCAACCCCCAGCGAACAACTGTGACAAAACAAGTGTGCATGTGCACAGCGCATAACAACACATGAACGCCAAACGACGCAATTGGCGGATGAACGGGAGAATGTCACCGCCGCGACATGTGCGTTGCAGTAGCAGTAGCCGCTCGGACCACTTAATTGGCAGTGCTGGTAGGATGCAGAGGGGGGCACCGACAGGCAGCTGTTGCGCTGAAACCAGAGTTTGCTCAGGCGCGCAGCTCTCACTCGCGTGGCTTCGGTGCGCCATTCTACAGCCACTGGTTCCGACGACCTTGTCACTCCCCCCCGCTCTCTCGTTCTCTCGCCCGCCAACCGCGCACCCTCTCCGAGCCCTCTGCTCCGAAGCTGCCTGGCCCAATGCCGCGTGCACGTCATCTTTCCTTCGACCGAACAGTTCGCACTCGATCCAGAGACGCAGCGAACAAACTCTATAATGTTCTTTTTGGGATTTATGGAGGATGCAAGCGGGTGTCGGCAAAAGATGTTTGTATAATTTCTCATTTCTTGGTGCTATGAGGCGTTGGGGTGAAGTTTAGGAGGTGTGCTTTGAAACCAGGGCTCCAAGCAGGTAGGTATTCGAAACATCTGAAGTCATTGTTTCCAGATGGTGGTCCGTATTACCGAGCACAAATGCCATGCTCGCTGATGGGGGGACCTCAACGGAAGTCCAGAGAGGTAGTGTTCAGGGCGGTATATCACACCATATCGGCAGAAGTGCGCGACGCCCCTGGGATTGCCGATATGTTGGCCACTGGGGCGGTTGGTGATTTTGATTCTGCAATGCCCCTACCAGCTTATCGTTCCCACCCCCACGCGCACAAGTCGTTGGATGAGACAGGCAAATACCCATTGCCGTTGGGCGTGTATGCAGACGGCATTAGATACACTCCTGTTTCCGCTGGCCGAGTCGAGTATCCGACGGGCGTCGCTGTCGCCGCCAGCAGCCAAAAACACGCATCACTCCTCAGCCTCATCGCCCTCCTCTGCCCCCTCCTCATCACGCGCGTGGTCGCCCGCGCCTTGGTTGCGCCCCCTGCTCACCCACCGTGCCCCGCGCTGTTGTTCCAATGGGGGGCTGGCGGATTCACCGTTGGGGGTCACAGTCATAAACTTGCTCACTCGGAAACGGCACTTGCTTGGATTTTTGAGGACGTCCGAATATTGCCAATGCGGCTGCGGAGGGCAGCACAGCATACATGCAATGTTTCAAGTTCTTGCGTGGCAACTTGGCGCCCTCGTGGACGGGCGCGCCCCTGCGTATCGCCACGATGGGGAGGACTGGGACCCTCTCGATGATAAGAATGTACCAGGTGCGCCACTTGGAGATTTCAGGTCCATGGTGTTGCACCTCAAAGGGGATTGGGCGGAATATCAAAAGAGTTTCGGGCTTTCACCATGGTCCAAGGTTTACAACCCCTGCCCGATATGTGATTGCCCGAAGGATAGTATGCATGAGACGGTGCCTGGATTTCTCACTAAAGATGGGATGTTGTTCGCTGACCGTGAGCACGGCGATTATGAATTGGCGTGTCGTGCTTGCGAACATGAGATTTTAATTGACTCAGAGCGCGTTCGGGCCCTTATCCTCCGCAACCTAACATATGATCTGAATGGTACCCCAACGAAAGGGCCAATACTCA